ACAGTCTCATGTTAACTAGACACACACACACAGTCTCATGTTAACTACACACAGGACTACCTCAGGACTGAGAAAGGGTCAACAGACCTGAAACGTTAACTCTGATTTTTCTTCGCAGGGGCAGCTAGACTTGTTGAGCTTTTCCAGCAACTTCTGCCTTTGTTGTTGAGAGCTGAGTAATTCCTATCTGAGTGCTGCACAAGTTGGCACATTAACACATACCCTCCAACTCATACCAACATGATCATGAACCTGGGGATGAAGATCTGGCCATATAAGGAGCAGTTGAGGAGTCTGGGTCTGCACTCGATGGATTAGAAAGATGAGGGGGGGGTGGGATCTGATTGAAACTTACAGAATACTGAGAGGTCTGGATAGAGTGGACGTGGAGAAAACGCTTCCATTACAAGGAGAGACTAGGACCTGAGGGCGCAGCCTCAGAATGAAGGACAATCCTTTCGAACTGAGATGAGAAGGAATTTCTTTAGCCAGAGGGTGATGAATCTGTGGAAGTCATTGCCACAGAAGGCTGTGGAAGTCAAGTTGTTGAGTGTACTTAAGCCAGAGATAGATAGGTTCTTGATTAGTCAGGGATCAAGGCTTACAGGAGAAGGCAGGAGAATAGGGTTGAGAAACATATCAGCCATGATCAAATGATGCAGAAGATTCAATGGGCTGAATGGCCTAATTCTGTTCCTATGTCTTATGGCCTTATGTACACTACAACCTGGTGATGCCACTGAGGAATGGGGTAGTTTAGAAGGTGTATGACCTGTTGTACTGAGATCACTGATATACTGAATCGAGGGTCACTTTTTGTCCTCATGGACTCTTTATTGAAGAAGTTGACCTTTTCAAAGTGGAACACCCTCACAGAACCAACTTGGTTCAAAGATACAACCGATTAGTACATCATTTGTAAACAATACATTTTATCATTACTTGGATGAAACTCCTTCCCCTTGTCTCAAATTCAATCCAAAACAGTTTCCATAAGCTAAGTAAGCTAAGTTTAAGTTTTAAGTTTAAAATAAATCAGGGTGAACAGTGATTATCCAGAGAGAGGAAATTCATGTGACTATCTCTTGGGATTTACAAAAGTTTGCATTTACTTTTACTTTCATTCCGGGACATTGCACACAGTACCAGCTGCTCTCAACAAACGTGTAGCAGCAGGGTGACTGTCCCATTTCGGTTCAGGTAAAGGAACTGGCAGATTTGTAAAGGTGATAAACCACACTTCAGAGACACCCCCAGACAGTGAAATGGGACAGACTCCACATTCTCTGAAATAAATCCTTCACATCACACAAGCCAAACTTAATACTAAACAGATCTTCAACACAACCCTCGCATTCTCCCCCTGAAAGCACTGAATGTAGCCAACTCGGGGGTATTGGTAAATGTTCCAGCAATGGCATTTGGCCGAGTGCTGGCAGGGTCTTCGACTGTGGAAAGCATCACATACCATGGACCAATCCTGCAAGCACAAAAGCAAAGGAGCTGTTCTTGGCACTCTGGCCAATACTTCTCCTTCCACCACCCTTAACACTGGAGATCAGTTCATTGGCACACAACAGTTAATGGGAGCTTCCTGTGCACAGATTGCTCCCTGTGTTACAGCAGTACATTAAAAAAAATGTACTTTGTTGGTTGTGACAATGGTGAGGGATGAGAATCTGTGGAGTTACTTAATCCAACGGGATATAGGAGATATCCTGAAATATTTAAGATGGAGGTCACCAGCTTTGGGACAAGACAGGAATTTAGTGATGGATCCATTAAGGTGGAAGGTCAGTCATGATCTTGTTGAACAGGTTTGAAGGGCCTATTTCTGCTCCTATTTCTTATGTTCCTACGAAAGGTGCTGTATAAATACAGGCCTATCTTCTCTCTTTTCTTGTACACTCCACATCTGAACCAAGTATTTTCTTAATCGGAGGCAGCTACCATACAGGGTCAGAAGTTGGGCAGCCTTCACCAATATCATCTCTTGCTTTGCCCAGTGCCCAAACGCTGCCCTCGGCCTCCAACCAGCCAAGTTGGCAAGGACAGGAAATTAAGCCTGGTCTTTACTGCGTCGAGTACATGTTCATTTGATAGAAATAGCTGCAGGAACCACATAACAGATCTGAGGACCACTTTGAAATGTGATCTTTCCACATTCTACAAAACAAAGCTCACTTGTGGCATTAATGGAAAATCAGACAGTGCAGTAAGTGATCATTTAGATCATTTAGATCCCAGCACCTCTCACTGATTCCCCTTCACATTAGGAAATCTGGATAAAATATACTGCTCTGGTCTGTGTTGTTGAACACCATTGTGAATGCAACGTAACCCTTCGAACACATGCGAGGTCTATTCGATTAGCTCAGATTGTCTTCATCGGGTACAGGCTCTTGTTGGTGAAAAGCAGATACAGCAAAGCTTTTGTTTTTGTCTTGCTCTCATCAGGACAGACACAAAAACACCAATATTTCAAACAGAGCAACATTTGAAACGGAAACAGGAAATTGCTGGAGAAACTCAGCAGGGCAGGCAGCATCTGTGGAGAGAGAAATGGAGTTAACATTTCAGAACAGGGCCCCTTCTTCATAACGCCTTTGGGTTTTTTGTTTGGTTTAGGGAGCAACAACTTATGGTGCATCAGGGCAGGTTGCTGATTTTTGGCGAGTCAAAGTCGAGGGCATTGCCGAAGACAATGCACCAAGGTAACCACTGCCCTTTCCCCCACCCCAGGTGGCTCCTGGTGCACTCTCCATGGCAACACCTTGATCAATCAAGCAGCACCCTTTTCTCATGCAGTTATAAATTGTTGTTCCTTCTGAAAGTCAGCATTCTTGCATGAGTCCTGACGGAGAGAAGGGTGCAAAGCTTTGACTCCTTTCTCCATGAGGCCCGAGCCCCGTGAGACGGTGAACAAAAAGCGGTTTCGCGGAAACGCCTCCCTCCATGCTCTCACCTTACTTGTGGCAGTCGCGCTGGAGCCTGGGACCACAGCGACGTTGGTGACCTGGACAAAAAGGTAGTTGTTGTCGATGAGCGGCCACGCCCCGCGGACCTTGCACGTCTGGAAGGCATCAGTGAACGTTCGGAGGTGGGGGTCCCCGAACAGGCCACAGTGCGTGTAGTTGGGTTGCGGCGCGTGCCTCTGCAGGCTCTTCTCGTAGTTGCAGACCTCGGGGGCGTCCGAATGCACCATGCAGTCCAGGGAGGTCGGCTGCGTCCGCGGGGGGGCCTGCGTGGGCCCCACCTTGGAGCAGTTGTGCTGGTTCATGAGGTCCTCGATGCCGTGGACAGCTGAGTGGTAGGCCAGGTCCCCGCGGCAGGCGCGCGCGGTCTTGCGAGTGCACTGGGAATAGGCTCGCAGAGCGATGCAGAACTCCACCGATTCTTCCGCGCCCGTGTGCAGTCCAGAGGTTGCAGAAAGGTACTCGGAATTACACTTCAGAATCCTGCACTGGCAGCTGACTGCGGGCAGAAGTGAAAACAAATCAGTCAGTCACTGCTAACATTGACTTCCCAATTTTGCACCCTCTTCCAACCCTCCAGGCACTCCTCATTAGAGACCGTCTCCTTCCAGGAGACCACTGGGCAGAGAATTGAGGATCACTAATCGACTGCGAAAAGCAGCAGAGTTTAGTAGTGAAAACTGACAGGAATCACTGGGATAGAATCACAACTAGGATGTGTTTTTTTTTTATTTCTGCTTCCAAACCCCAACATTAGTATCATTTTCCTTCGTCCTTCCACAGAACGTGGGCATCACTGGAAGCGCTCCCATCCTTGCTCTTGAGGCTTGTGGAGGGTTTTCAACCACATCGCTGTGGGTCTGGAGTCACATGCAGGCCTGACCAGGAAGGGACAGCAGATTTCCTTCCCTACAGGACATTGGTAAACCAGACTGATTTTTACAACAATTGATGATGGTTTCACGAGACTAGCTTTTGATTCCAGAATATGTTAATTGAATTTAAGTTCCAGCTGGGTGGGATTTGATCTTAGACCTCTGGATTCTGAAGCCAGTGGCATTACCATTACACCATGATCTCCCAGGTTAAATGAGGCCAATTGTAGCACCCAAACCATTGCTCCTCTATAAGGTAATCCTGACTAGACCAGGATTTACATCGGTACATATACCAGCTGAGTACGGATGTTCAGTTGTCATTGTGATACTGGGACAGCACAGCACACTCATTCCCAGCCCTGCAGGAATGACAAAGGCTCTAGCTCTATACCTTCACCACCAATGGACCCCTGAGCTCTCTGTCTCAATCAGACACAAATACTTCAGCGGCACATCTGATATTGGAAGGACGAGAATAAAATAACAGACACAAACATAGAGAATGCTGGAGAAACTCAGCAGGTCTGGCAGCACCTGTGGAGAGAGAAACAGGGTTTAACTTTTTGAGTTCAGCATCACTTGTCTTCAGAACTAGATAACAAACACTGTCACAGTCTCTACTTGTGATCTCATAGAACGTCCGGCAGTACAGCACAGGAACAGGCCCTTCGGCCCAGCATGTTTGTGCTGACCATGCCATTCCAAACTAATCCCATCTGCCTGCAGATGGTCTGTATCCCTTTATTCCCTCCCTAATGGCATTGTGGGTCAACCCACAGCAGGTGGATTACAGCAGTTCAAGAAGGCAGCTCACCACCACCTTCACAAAGGCAACTACAGACAGGCAATAAATGCAGGCCAGCCAGCGATGCCCACATCCCCCAAATGAATAAATAAAGAAAACCCATCTAAATGCTTCTTAAATGTTACTATCATATCTGCTTCTACCACCTCCCCTGGCAGCGCATTCTACCCCCCTACCACTGTCCGTGTAAACATTTGCCTTGCACATCTCCCTTTAAACTTATGCTCCCTAGTGTCTGACATTTCCATCCTGGGAAAATGACTCCAACTATCCACCCTGCCTACGCCTCTCAAAACTTTATGGATTTCTATCAGGTTGCCCCCTTAGCTTCTGATGCTCCAGCGGAAACAATCCAAGTTTGTCAAACCTCTCCTTGTGGCTAATACACTCCAATCCACGCAACATCCTGCTAAACCTCTTTTTCACCCTCTCTAAAGCTTCCACATCCTTCCTGTCGTGTAGCAACCAGAACTGCACACAATGATCAAAATGCAGCCTAACTAAAGTCTTACATGGCTGCAATATGACTTGCCAACTTTTCTACTCAATGCACTGACCAATGATGGCAAGCATGCCATATGCCTTCTTTACCACTTTATTGTCTTATGTTGCCACTTTCAGGGGTCTATGGACTTGCACCTCAAGATACCTCTCTATATCAATGCTCCTAAGGGTCCTGCCATTTACTGTGTACTTGCCTCTTGGCATCTCCCAAAATGCATCACCTCATATTTGTCTGGATTAAACTCCATCTGCCATTTCTCTGTCCAACTGATCTATATCCTGCTGTATCCTTTGACAACGTTCTTCAGTATCCACAACTCCACCAACTTTTGGTGTTGAGTGGGTAGCATTGAGTATGGGGCTTATGTTTGGGGGAGGGGGAGGTGAGGGGATGGTGAAGGGACAGGGGGACACTGTTGCATGAGCTGTGACACACCAACCGGGTGTACAAACAGAAATGATGCCCCTCCAAACTCAGCTGGGTGTCTGGAGAGAACATTTCACCTGAGTACCACTGCACAATATTGGAAATATAGGTCTGTCACAGATGGCAGGAGAGACTGAAGGAACGCATTAAGAACATTGCACAAGTAATGGACTGACCCAGTATTAAGGTGTTGTGGCCAAAATTTAGCCTTTCCTTTTTATTTCTTTGTTCTTTCATGGGATGTCGGTGTCTCTGACAAGGCCATCATCTGTTGCCCATCCCTAATTACCCCTCATTGGAGCTTGGTTAACACTTCCCAATACAAGGAGGGAGTCACTGATTGACAGTCTTGGTTATATTGCCTGCAGTTCCCAGTGACACCAGGAAAGGAAAGCCTATTGATTGTTGGTTACAAAAATATAAATACTGTATGTGCTACATAGCTGAGAATGGAGTTTGGGAAGACAATGACAGGGCAGATAAAACATTGGCTTCCACTTTAACTCACAGCTCCATTTAAAACAGACAAATTATGTTTGAAATTCAAGGTCCCTAGAATCGTTTTTTTTCCCCATTTTAAGACATCCTCCTCATCTTATATTTACTGACACTGCATTTCTGACTGAAGTGAGCTTCCTGCTCCCTGAGATGAAATTGACATTCTTCCCTCCAACAATGCATTTTCTTTTGGGATTTCCAAACTGCAGCATGCCTTACACCTCCCTCTGCGTTCCCTTTCTTTTCCAATCTTTAAAGGCTTTAAAAACTCATTGTCATCTCACGTCAACTCCTTTATTTCCCTGAACTTCTCGCAAATAAAAAGTTTTAAGATCCTGGAGGGTTTGTGCAGAGTAAATCAGAAGACAAGGTTCCACTGGCAGGAGGGTGGGCAATGGACAGACACAGATTATTGGCACGAAAACAAAGGAAAATGAGAAGTGTATGCAGCAGTCAGAAACACAAGAGCCGGACAGAGTGGCCGGGGTAGATTCAACAAAAATGTTCAAAATGGGATTGGATAACGACTTGGAGAAAAACATTTGAGAGAGTGACAGGAAAGCAGCAGGGGAGTGGCACTAATTGGGCAGCTCGGTCAAAAGGCAGACACAGGCAGGCTGGGCTGAACGATCTCTTTCTCTGCTGTACCATGCTTATGATTCTCTCCTCGTCGTGACCTGCAGCACCTTCCCACCCTGTCTCTCGATTTGAAAGCTATGTCTCAAATAAACAGATACCTGGGGGTGATTGGGACACAAATCTAATTCAAGGGAGTCAGGAGACATCACAAATCACAGCAGAAGGCGCACGCATCTTATAAATGTCAGCCGAATCTGGAGATGGAGTCCTGAGTCGGTATGTGCACTGCATGGTTCACGGCTATGAAGTGATTAAAGTTGGATTTATCAAGAACCGATCTGCAGCTGACAATCTGTGTTATGGCATGTAATAGCTTTATGTCAACAATTTGGGAAAGCTCTACAAGGTTTTGTACGGAAGCAAATTGTATTTCTCAGCCATTAAGGTCTTTCGGTGCCCTCAGCAGTATTTCTAACAAGACATTCACGTGGAGCTGCACAACTCTCCAGTGAGCGCCCACGGTTAATCCCTACTTTCTGTTTTCACTGTAGCTGAGATTCCAAAGTTGGCCTCACCATCTCTATCCACATCCCCCCACACCACCACCACCCACACCCCAACACTCACTCTCTCACACAGACAGAAAACTGTGCTGAAGATTTGGAGTGTAGGAGGAAGGTGGAGCATGATGTTAACCCCATCATTGATCATTGCTCCCAGCAAACGAGTAAGTCAGAAAGCGTTTGAAGCCAACCCTCAGTGAAATGCTCAGCCAATATTCACTGCAATATTCACTCCAAAACCTTAGAGATTCACTGCCCAGTTAGGGTGCTCTCAACTATCCAGAGGGCTCCCATGCTATTGGCATTGTGTGTGTGTTCTTTCCACAAGCGTCCCTCTTGCAGCTTCATTCCCTGGGATGCCCTGATGTTGCAATCTGAACAGGTTCCTCGCTTTAACGCTCCAGTAAAATCCTGCTCATTCAGAGTGGTGATTTCTGACAGGTACTGTGAAGGCCAGTCTGCTGCTCCACAACAAATCTCACACACAGTTCCTAATCCTAGTTGTAAGTGGCAGGTTTCAGCGCTTTGAAACAAAAATGCCTGGAGTCCATCCAGCTGTTTCTGTTCAGCGACAGGACCTGATTAGGAAACCCAACTGGGAGATGCAGCTGGGCCAGTGAACGGTGCCTGACGCAAAATGATGCTAAAATGAGATTCCGAATGAGAAATGAATACTTATTAAAAAAATCTCTTCTCAAAAGTGTCTGCGTCTAATTTGTCTCGCTCCTCCCTTAGAGATGACAACTCTCATTAGTTTGGGCTTTAAAAGGTGTGAGGAGCTTTGTAGCAACTTGTCCAAAGGGCTGGTGCAGCAGTGAGTGGGTTGGCTATATTTGACCCTGAAGGGATCACAGTTGAACCTAATCTGCCCTCGCCTTATGCCCAAATATGCAGGCGTTGCCACTGTGGGTTTGGGTGTAAAAACATGGACAACAAACCCTGGTTCATTGACTTTGCCCTCCGCCCTGGTTAAGGCCACTCACTGTTAAATGTGAAACAAGCTGAGTTTCCACAGTGAAGAAATTGAACTGGGGGCTAATCTGTTCTGTATCACTCTGCACCACAGCAGGTGGTGAACTTACTCCCAGAGCACAGCTCTGAACATAGCTTCAACATCTCCTCAAACATTAACACATTTCGTTAACTGCAGGCAAGAACCATGCTTGCTCAATCTTCCAATCAAAGTAAGACATTGATGCCCCAATGTCTTAACATATAATAATAATCTCTTGCTTGTCTGTGACTTACTGAGAGAGATAATGACATATTTAATTCCTTAAATTAAATCCATTGGCCACAATATTGAAGTAACTCAATTTTAAAATGCTAATTATTGTTTATATGACACAAATCTGAGAAAGGGCACAATTCTAAAATTAGTAAATTATAAATTTAACTTGCTTGTAAATGGCTGCTTTTTAAGGTTAGTCATTTTGATCAGAGTACAATAACCTTTAGGTTTGAGGTTCAACAGAAAGTCATATTTCAGAAATAGATAACTGACGTAGATTTATTTGAAGAATTCTTTGTTGATTACTTCCTCTAACCCCTGGCACAGGCTCTTGCCATGGCTCAGTGTTCCAGAGAAGTCAACTTCTCTCTGCTGTTTTACCTAAGTGGGTGTTCATCATGTACGTGAGCCAAGATCTTGCCAGGCTATTCAACAATAGGGGCTTCACTGCCATGTCAATCCCTGCACCTGATGCCTGCATTTGACTACGGGAATCTTGGATTGCAGTCTGGACCAGAAACACTGGCCAATTTCCACTCAACACTTTCCCCACCCCATAGTTCAGATGCTGAGGCCAGTTGTAACCCCCAGGCTGCTCTGCGAACAGACCTGGAGTTAAGAAGGAAACCACATTCTGCAGGGTCACACACTAAAGGCTGATGGAATGAGGACACAAACCCGTCATTTTGACAGCAATCAGAACACGCAACCAGCACTCACATAACACAGATATATGTTTCTCCACAAATTATAACACTGTACTCTGCATTCAAAAACAACAAACAAAAACATTTTCGAAAAAAATTATTCTGACAGACAAATCAGTTTTTGCTGAATGAACAATTGCGGTCAAATACATTCTTCCTTTGGCAAATTCAAGCAAATAGAAAGGAACATATTACCATGGATTGGATAAAAATTTCACATTTTATCCATATAGTTGGGGGGGGTGGAGGGTGTCTATGACTTTAAATAAATGGCTAATTCCAATATCAGTGATTACAATATGCCATTGCCCTTTTAAAAATAAATATTTACAGCAAAATGCAAATCAATTGTTACTTTTCCCTTACAATGAAAGAATGGGCAATTTGGATTCTATGGCGCATTTAATTACCACTACAAAGCCTTCAGTGAAGGCAGTCAGATTTTCCGACAAAGGAACTCTGAGAGAAGAATTTTTTTGAAAAGGGAATGAATTCATGAATTTGAAAGGTGTACTGAGGCACTGAATAGGCACAATACACAGTAAGATATGCACAGATACACAAACACAAAATCATTGATCTCCAAACCTAATCACTGATATTGCCCAGACACTTCCTGGGTCAGGCCACTTCTGAACTAGGAAGAATCAGACTGTTTCAGCCAAAATTTACAAATTCCCTGACTGTTAACAGGAGTAATATTGAAATATGTGAAATATTTTATACGGTAATTTTATTTAGAACAAAAAACCTGAACACTTCAGAAATGTAAACACTCTGTACAAAAATGTGCACTCAAATGCCACAGTAACAAGTGCAGACTGAAATTATTTTACACAGTGTAGACTTTATACTGAGTCTGGAAGCTGCTTTTAAACATTTTATGAACTCCTGCGTGGGAGGCAGTTTCCTATAATTCACACTGCGTTCTCGCAATCCTTAAAAGAATTATTCTGACAGACAACATACAATGGAAGGCAGTAATAATATTTATCGTTTACCTTATAATCAGTCTCATTGGTGACAATTTCGACTCTCTGGGCGGTTGATCAAATTAAAGTATAAATGTATTTCGGACGCGTTTATCAGTCACTTTCACCCCCAAATTATGAAATAATTTAAGATTGAGGGTGGATCTTCAAATTAAGGTGACAACAAAATTGCCTAGAGGTATTTGCTAGAGTGTTGCAGATATGAACTGAAGTTACAGAAATACGTTTATATTAAAGGTTTACGTTTTTACAAGAAAAGGGCGAGCACATTGTAATTAGAGTCTGTGCACACGGGGATGTTGTAAAATAAACGGGGCAAAAGTTTCTGGCGAAGGTTTTCTCAAAAAAAAAGTTGCTCACGCTACCATCCCCCACCAAAACAGAGTTTGCAGTTAGGGGTCTTTGTGATATCCTTCCACCCGGAGCAAAACAAGAATAAATTTGAGATCTGCTTCTTGGGGTGATGGATTGTATTAAAATTCAAAACTCCAGCTCGGGAGGACGAGGGATTTCTGTAAACACATCGCTCGTTTTATGACGCCAAAAGAAAAGGATTTGATTTCACTCACACTGGCCTCAATTCCCAAGAAATAAAACATTTAAACTCTCTCTGTCCAACAACCCCAGGGCTCAACGCCTTTCTTGCAGAAGGTAACGACTTTAAACAACTCTCTAAAAAAACAAAAATCCCTGTAAACTTTTCTCTTGGATACCGTGAGTCTGAATGTCCCTATGAAATTTAAAGTGATATCTCCATTCCACACCACCCCCTCCAAAAAAAAAGCAACACTAAGGCCGTTTAAATGAGTTTTTGTTTTGGAGGGATGCAAGAACTTTCACAAATAAATTGTCTGAAAAACTTTCTGCATGTGAAATCTGGGACACATTCTAAGGTCAGCCTACGCAAAAGACAAACTTTAAACACACACACACACACACAGTGAGAGAGAGAGAGAGGCAAACGGACGCTTTTGCAAGTTCTCTTTGTGCTGCAGACTATCTCTGCTTTACCTGCTGGGAGCCACAGAACCATGGTCAGTATTCCAAGGAGCCGGTGGCCGAATGGGGCGTCCCTTCTCCCCATTCCCATCCATCCAGCCCACACTGGGATCCCGCAGAACTCCAACTCTCCAACTCTGCACGCCCTGGGTGAGAGAGGCAGGAAAAAAAATACAAGAAATCAGAGCGCGCACACGCCGAGGGGAGAGAGAGGGGAGAGCTGCGCTAACCCATCAATCAGGGGCGGCCCGGACCTCCCCCAAAGGCGGACAGCGCGGAAACAGGCGGGCTAAACCCGCCTAGAGCAGGCAGCAAACACAGAATCAACCGGGAGGACGGGGAGGAGAACACAGGGAGGGAGGGAGGAGAGGAGAAGATAGGGAGGGGAGGAAGAGGACAGGACAGGACAGGACAGGG